TGGATGGATGGATGGATGGATGGATGGATAGATTTAGCAGCCAGTATCAGTCATACAACACAGCACAGTTATAATAATAAGGGTGGTACAATATGAAAAACAGACTCAGCAAAATGGTCAAATACAAATAATATTGTCAACTTTAAATAAATTTATCTCACTTATTACAAAGAGGCAGGAATATATACAAAAAAACATCTACAGGCATATATATAACTAGAAATATACAAAAATATGCACGAAGATCTATCCTGAGATAAAAAGGCAGTGCAATAATGACAGTACGAGGAGGTGCAGGTAACTGCATATAATGACAATACTGAATAAATATGTGCAGATATTGGTACTGTAAATAAAGTGTCCAGGTGTGGAGTGTCCAGATGTGCCATAAGGTGTCCGTATGTGCAGATAGATAAAATACACCTATGATTTAGCATAATAATTTTGCTCTCTTTGTAATGAATCATGTAGTTGGTCAGTGTTCAAGTACTAATGATACACATAATATGCTCAGAAAAGCTTATTGTATCGTATAGTGACGTGATTTATCACAGTAACAATATATATTGTCACCCCGCCCAGCCCTGCTATATAAACCCAATTATGTTATTAAAAACAATAAGCTGTGTTCTACAACTGCTGTAACTTTTGAAGCGTTATCTGCTGGCTTTGCCAACTCATTCACAAACTTTCCCTTTCTAATTAACAGTAAAGCCTTGGCAAATAGAAAGTATTGAGAATGTTCAGGTGTGTTTCATGTGTTCATTTAGGCCACATGGTGTGAAAAAACACTTATAAAAGCAGCCAATATGTGAGTAAAGAGTAATAATTGGCCGAAGAAATCATGAATAGTGAGTCTCCAATTTTGGGAACAATAATAGGCTGTTAAATGATTATCAGTAATGTTCTATAATTCATATATTTATCTATTTTCATAACATTTTCGTCTTAAGGTTTAATCACTACAAGACATTCTGGATATTTTCTTCTAACTTCACCCTGGAGGTTTAAAGTCTATCTCAGTCTCTGTAGTTGTACTAACTGCACTAAAGCAGTGCTTCATATCAGAATCCTTTATACGTGTATTGGCAGGTAAACTGGTTTTGTATGACTGAAGACAGCAGTTCCAGATGTTTGAGCTGCAGTGTAGGTGTGCTGGAGGAGCAGAGAGGGTATTAAAGTGTAAATATGAGCTCAGTGTGAGAGTCGTGTCAGAACTCGCCTCCTTCAGACGTCGACAGCAGCAGCAGCCCTGTTTAACTCAGGTGTGTGTGTTTCGGGGGGGGGGCGGGACCGACCTGCATTGAGGCCTGTTCAGACTGGAGTAGTTTATTGGAGGGGGGTGTAAACATTTCATACTCATCCCCTTATGCTAACCGTACACTAGAAGACTTTAAAAAGACTTTTAAAAGACTAAAGTCCGACACCCTCTCACTTCTACAGACAATGTCACAGAGTTTTAGTCCCAGACTAAGACTGTGGATCTTGTAGGGTCACTATGTGCAAGACTGCAGCTAGATTTTTGAGATTATTTCCCATCATGCACCTAGTGGAAAGTTACAAGCAGAGAAATGCTTTTCCTTCTCCACTCTGTAGTGGCACAGATGGGAGGACACGTTGGCTGGGCATGTAAAGATCTGGGGCTCAGCCCAGTTCACTGTAGAGCTGTGTACTCTGGCAGATCATCACCCAGAATCTTGTAATTAACCTGTAAAATGTGCAGCTACTTTACTTACACATCAACACAACATGCAGCGATTCAGCATCGGGCGTTATGAACTAAACCATAAAAAACAGCCAAACAAAATAGAAAACACAAACAGAAAGTCTTAAAAAATGGAAGAGAAAACACTGAAGATTCTTCAGTGATGCCAGTTTAAAGTCCTCGGCACATTTCCTTACATGACTCCAGTAAGACTCTCATGATTTTATTCTGACACTGGAACTTTGTCTGCGATGGTGAAATCGCTTGGTGTAAAGATGGCATTAGTGATAAAACTTGCACCCACCCTGCTGTGGAGAATTTCTAGTGAGTTTTAATCTATTTTGTCAGAATTCAGCATTAGATCTTTATAATGATGATGAAATTACATTATGATACGCTTTTCTTGAACCCAGTGGAAAAAACTTATAGAGCAATATGGAACACAATAAAAAAAAGGTGAAATATATCTATACACACATTAAAACCACCTCCTTGTTTCTGCGCTCATTGTCCATTTTATCAGCTCCACATACTATATAGGTGCACTTTGTAGTTCTACAGTTACAGACTGTAGTCCATCTGTTTCTCTGATACTTTGTTAGCCCCCTTTTACCCTGTTCTTCAGTGGTCAGGACCCCCATGGACCCTCACAGAGCAGGTACTATTTGGGTGGTGGATCATTCTCAGCACTGCAGTAACACTGACGTGGTGGTGGTGTGTTGCGCTGGTCTGATTGGAGCCAACAGCGTCCTGTGGGCAGCGTTCTGTGACCACTGATGAAGGACTGGAGGATGG